ATTGTTTAAAAAGCTACAAAAATCATATTTTCTTCAGCATCATTAACCATTAATACTTACACCATGCTACATAATAATATATTATTTAATACTAATAATGTATATGTGCTCCTGCTCAATATTCAGGCAAGTATGCATTGAGTTTGTAATTCACAAACTCACCCAATGTTAAACATCATTTTACTCTTCCTCCATTGACTTCTTGGGTTCATGCCATCCTTTCACATGCTTGTCCAGGAACAGTCCACCTGTGTTGCATTAGTTTTAGGAAAGACCTATCCCAATCCAGCCATAGTGAAATAACACATCACAATTTAGAGATCTGGTGTTAAACAAAGCAATGTTTGTTGAGAACCACCCTCCTTTCTGGTCTATCTTCATTAAACTAATCCTAACAATTTAGCCATAAGTGGACTACTAGTACTCTTCTAACCTTAATTCCTAAATAAACATACTTATCCAAGTCTAAATTGTCCCAAATTGCACTTGTAAGAACTTGTAACTCTAATCCTAAATTTATGTTGTAGTATGTTCAAAATGATTACCATATTTTATAAAGTTTACAACCAAGTAGCCTCATAATGGTCATAAAAGTTGATTATTGCATTCAAATCATTATTTGTGTCAAATCAGTTTGAACTTAACATGCTGTAAACTATCTGATCCTAAGTTATACTTAATCATGTGATATAAAATTCGGATTTTTGAGTCCAGATGTTGCCGTTTTGGAAGCATTTAAACTCAGGAATGCAGCCTCATCACAATGATTATGAAGAAATACCAAAAACTTTTATGAACAAAAACAAAATTCTAACATGAAAATCATGTTATCCAGAGGCTGCAATTTGCAGTCCCTGGAAAATGCCTTCTTTTCTCTCAGACGCCGTCATCAGAGCTACGTCAGCTGTCAATCAAAATGAGCAGCACTGTTATTCCATCATGGCTATCCTGCTTGGTAGTTAAAAAATGGCAAGAAAAGGGGTCTGATTTTTGCAAAATATAATGGAAACTGTCAAAAAAAAAAAGTAAATGCAGCTGTAACAAAGACTGAGAAACAGGCTACAACTGAATGAGATCAGTGAAGGTGATTCTCAGAAAAATTTTTGTGCATTTTGTCAAAGTTAATTTTTAATTTCCTGATAGAGGGAAATGTCATGTGACTTCTTATTATGGGATTTTCTACACTTTAAGCTAGATGTTATTTATTAAGTGAATACCATTGAAGTTTAAGGAAAGATTTTTCTGAGTTTTAAAAGCCAACTCAACAAACATGACTTTTTTTAAAAGTAGATAATCAACTTTGAGGACTCCACAGACCTAACTTTATTTACATATTTATATTACCCTGTCTGTGCCCCAACTCAGATTATAGTGAATTTAAGTTTTACATCCGAAAACAATTCAACAATTGCAGGGAATTAGTTATTTTGCCTAAAATGTTATTACTATTATTATTGCTTTCTCAAAATATTATTATCATCACCATTAAAAAGAAAGAACTTAGAAATAGGCAGCACAGTGATGCAGTTGTTAGTTGCCGCCTTTCAGTGAGAAGGTCCTCGGTTCAAATCCCAGCCGTGGATCTTTTATGGACTGTATTTATATAGCACTTTTCTATCTTATCAAGACACTAAAAGCTCTTTACAACACTATTTGTGCCCTCATTTATCCATTCATACAACACTCTTCTACATCTCTACAAATAATAATCAGTGCTTTCTCACATTCATACATTGATGGGACACACATCGGAGGCAATGAGAGGTTCAGTGTCTTGCCCAAGGACACTTCGGCATGTGACTGCTGGTGGAATCAAACCCCAAACTCCTACATTGGAGGATGACTGCTCTAACCACTCAGAGAAGAAACTGTTGATTAATGGGTGACTTTTCTATCTTCACACTGTGTAAGATATAAGACTGAAACTGTGTTCACTAACTGTTGATTACCACACATGACATGTTGAAAATCAGAAGAGAAGTGCTCGTCAAACATTCGCCACAAAACAGGAAGTCACAATAACTCCTGTCTGGAAGGTCGGATTTTGCCTATACTTGTAAAACCTGCAGCTGGACAAGTACTGACATGGACGGAAGGCGATGTCGAAGATTTGGAAAATGCACCCCACTTGCGGGACTGACACGAGAGCGTTCACAATGGCAACTGGGTGGAGTAGCTGGAGCTCCTGCGGACCCCGTATGGCCAGAGCGGAGCTTTGCTGCTAGGGCCTTCAGTGCTGCTTGCAGCTTTAATTTTAACTTGTGGCTATAGTTTAAGTGCAATTACAACCCAAAGGTTACAGCTCAACTCTCCTACTTCACACGTGACTACTCTTCTGCGAGTGCACAACTCTCTTTATACATGTGACACTTTTGCTACACATTTTGTGGGTTGCTTGTAGCAAAACTGAAAATGTGATAGCAGGTTGGGGTGGGGTTCTCTAACATATGTCAGCTTATGAGTAACTTACATGTAACATGTGTGAATTTATGCATAACTTGCCTGTTACATAACTTATACCTAACTTACCAGCAACACATCAGCGTTGAAAATTTTGTGCATATCTGTGCCCACTCTCATATGTAACATGTAGACATTTAGGGTTCTGGGCAAGGGTTGGGGAGGTGAATGGGCACTGCCTGCTGTCTGGGGAGGGGGTGGGTCTGTGCCGGTCGCTGCCTCATCCCGCCCATTTTAAACGCACTATATAACAACATGCATCAACACCTTATTTGAGTGGGAGGAGGGAGGACTCTCCGTTTGACATTTGGGGTCAGGGGCAGGGAGAGGGGGTAGACTGCCTGGTTGGGGTCTGGGCTGTGGGTGGGTGTTGGGCCTTGGGGGACGAATGGGGATGGGGCCTGTGCTCCGGTTCTCCCTGGGCTGTTTGGATCTTATGATCAAGTTTCCTGGTTGCGATGGCCGGCCCTTTGGCTGGAGTGGCTGCCAGGTTGCGGTGGGGGAGTCAGCTGTGGTTTGGTGTGTGTGGTCGTTGGTGGTGTATGGCGGACATCGGGTGTGTGGCTTCACTTTGACGGGGTGCTGGCTGGTCGGTCTGATGTGACATTCGTGGTGGGGGATGCTGTGTGTTTGGAGGGGGTGCATAGGTGGTATGCCGGGGCTTCTCCGGGCCTGTCGTGTAGGACTGTTGTGGTGCCTGGTTTTTGGTGCGCTGGGCCGGCCTTCCTCAGCTACTGCTCCCTGCTGCTCTGGCCCCCGGCCTGGGGCCAGCTTGAGGTCACAATCGGGTGGGTGGGGTGCATGGACCTCTGTCGGGCTGTCTCTGTGTGCCTGTTTATGTCTTGGGTTGGGTTTTAGGTGGTCCCCTCTCTTGGATCAATTTGGGCCCCCCATTTAATGTGGGATCTACTTCCCACTGTTGCGCTCCCCTCCGGTGGTGGGCCCCACTGCTGCCAGTGCATTGGTGGCTCTCAGCATCTGGGGCTGGGTGGTGGGGTGTGTGCAAGCCCACCCTGGTGGCTGCCTGCCAAGGCCTGGGTGCCCTGGCTCTGTCGGGCCTCTGTTGGGGGATGGTATGACCTCAGGGCTCGGTGTCAATGGCTGGATCAACTCTGGAGGGGCAGGTTGCCGGTGGGGCCTGTGGACTTGTCGCTGCAGCCTCATGGAGTTTCTGCATTGTGGTTGCTGGGGCTCGCCCGGGGCTTCCCTTTGCTTCTCTCTCTGGGGGGTGTGGGTGTCCCTGTTGGGGGACTCCCAGAGCTCCATGCTTGGGGACCTCTGTGTGTCTGTGGCTCCAGTCTTCCCTGTGTTACCATCGTGTCCTGTGGGGACAGGTCTGTGAGTCCCCACATCCACTATTGAACATTTTTATGGAGAAACCTTATAGTGACAAGCATGCTCACACAGGTGTTTAGATTCAGGTATTTATCAGATAAACACTCAATTGGGTTGTGGAGACCACTAAATATATCTTGTATTACCCTGTACTGTATAAAATAATTTTAATGATGTTATAATTATCATTATATATGTTGCTTGTTGTTGTGGTTTCTCGGTTTTGTCTTGTATTTTTTTTTTTCTGCAGGTCTAGAGGCAGACTTCAATGATGTTGATTTGTGTTCTCTTTATATATATCTCTCTTCTCTATTCCTATCTCCTTTTTTACCCTTTAACCCTTCTCCCACTTTTCTGCTTTGCTTTCTTCTTTGTTTTTCATCCCCATGTCCATTACATCTGAAACAAACCCAAACCAAATTCTAATAAAATGTAATTTATATATCAAGGGGAACATTAAGGCCAGCCATAATTCTCTGCTTGTGAATGTAAATCTGTTTGGCATCACCTTGACACTCAGACAATAATTCTGAGTGTCACAATGTTGGACAGGACAAGGGAGGGGGGGGGGGGGGGGGGGGGGAATTTTGTGCATGAACAACATTTTTGCCTTGCCATTTTATGTCAGCAGGCTGGTAATTTATTCAAAACTTACACCTAACTTACGTGACTTAAAATGCATTTTTCTTTTCTTTTGTCAACATAGGCTGATGCTATATGGCACTGTGTGACAGGGCCTTAAATCTTTAGGAGTGATTCGAGTTGTTTAGTTAAATAAACATCATTCAAGTTCACGTTACTTAAAATAGTAAATAAATAGACATTACCTTAAGCAGTACTGTTGAGCTCATAGATATGAAACTTTTAAATTTTGATATGAATGAGTGACACACAAATAAAACAAACTTCAGCCCATACAAATCCCTAGGAACCTATGTCACAGTCAGTTCTTCAAAATAAACATGTACAAAGAATGTATATATTCATATCAACCAGCAAAAACCAGTTTAAAAATATATGTTGATTTTAATTCATTACACACTTTAGCATGCCATATAAAATGATTAATAGTATGAGATACTAAGTCATCATTTCATACCCAAACAGCATCTAATCTCAGTTCTCAAACTTATCAAACTTAAATTTACATACTAGTACTAATACCTATTCTTATACTATATCTTTGACATGTAGTCAGAGGCTTTTTAAATGTACTTCATGAAGTAATTTATCCACTCTTGGTTGTCAGGTATTTTAGTGTACATATAGAGGGTGAAACCAGAAGATAGTGGCACGCTTGCCGACACCACCCCATAGGCTTTTTCATCGTCACAGACGAGTGGCCCTCCTGAGTCTCCCTGAAAGAACACAGAAAGTTGTGAGTGTATGGGTAAAGAGAAAATCATACATTCATTTTAACTAAGTGTCTTTTAAAATATATTTTAAGTAAGTAAAAAAAATATACCCCTCCTGGTCCCATATTTCCCTCAGAGCAGAACATGTCTTCTTCAGCACACTCCTCGTCATCAATAAGTTTCACATTGACTTCCATTAGTTGAAGGGACATCCATTTACTCTCATTGCTTGTTTTTCCCCAGCCGGCGACTGAACAGGACTTTGGAAGGGGGGCATCAAAGTGGTCTGCCAAAGCAATAGGTTTCACATGGTTGGTGATATTTGCCTTGGAAGATAGCTAATAAAAAAAACAAAGGGAGCAAATTAACAAATAAGGCCTTTGCAGTCTTTTCATCTCTTCTTTTAATCAAGAGCCATTGTAAAAACAAGAAAAACAAGGAAGTATGATTATCTGAAACATAATAAATATCATTTTACCTTCAGCAGCATGATGTCATTTTTGTATGAATGTTTACAGTAGTCCGCATGCGGAAAGGCTTGTTTCACTGTCAAAACATATTTTTCTTTGTCGTAAAAACTATCCATCCCCAAGAAAACCTGATAGGACCTAACACAGGCAAGAAATATCAGTTGAATTTGTTGCAACAAATATTTGACAGAATCCATTTCATTTATAAAATAAGCAAAACTGACTTGGCTTGGCAGTGAGCTGCAGTCATTACAAAATCTTCACTCAGCAGGAATCCCGCACAGTATTTTTTTTGATTATTGTCATCTTTAATCTCCAGTAGCACCATGTATGGCCTGCTATGTGGCACAGCCTTGTGGCCTCCAATAATTTTTCCTGCATAGACTGTGACATTTTTTGTTATGAGTTAGTACAATGACAAAACAATTATCATAGAACTTGAGTCAGTATCATAATGAAAACAAATTTTCTCTGTCTGCTATTCCCTGTTTTTTTTTATAAATCAACTTTTTTCGTCTCTTCTCCCATTTTTGTATAATTTTATGGATAGCATACCAATGTAAAGTACCAAAATAGATTATGAACTTGTGACCACACTGCTTATTCAATTGAAAAAAGAAAGGGTTTTGCAATACCTTAAAAATGTTGCTTAAAAAATAGCTTATATTCATATAATTATTATTAAAAGTTGCAAACATGAAACCAAGTAAAATCATTGGCCCAAGCAAGTAAAATGTTTTAGGATGAATCTAAATCAACATTTGAAGGAAGTGGAACTTTAAACAACAATTGTGAAGAAAATGCTATGTATCAAAAACAAAACAGTTTATATGTGTACCCCTATATTTCATTTAAAAGACTCACCTTGATCAGGACTGGTCAGCACAAGCACCAGAACTGTCAGGTTAAAGTAGGTGAACATGGTGAGATCACAGCAAAGCTGAGCTGCTATACAGGAGTGACTACTATCTCTGACACTTACATGCTTTATGTGCTTCCTTCTCTGTGAGATAAAAGGAGGGGTTTGTGCTATTTGCTGATGATGTGGCTCTGAATCAAATTCAGAACATCTGTGTCATCTTCAGAAACTGAAAACAGTTGAACTGTGAAAGCAGTATACATTTTTTCTAACATGCTAGCTTGCATAGTGTACACAGAACTGGACCTTTTTGCCCATGCCTCTCTGTGTGTGAGCAGATTTGTCTGCTTGCAAAATATTTGATGAACATATTTTAATGAAACTCTGAGTTTAATCATTGGTGTTCCTCTAAATTTGATAAACTTTTGGAGTCAACACAATTCAAAGTGGGCAACACATCCAACTTTTTTTATGAAACAAACACAAAAAGATATAACTCAACTAGTTTGACATAAAATGAGCTCATATTTAGTGGAGTAGTAGATGGGCATCCAAACATACTCTGCCTATGATACATGACACAATATTTTATTCAAAACTTAGCAAAATAGCTCATGAACCTAACATGAGTAAGAGCATTAATGACCTCAAAATGGCAGACTGAACAGACACGAGACTCAGGTAAAACAAAAAGTGATGTTTATTTACAGTGCAGGAAAACTGGTGACGGGGCTGCGGAAGGAAGCAGGAGATAGGATGAGTAATTGACTCAAAAGAGATGATCCAGTGATTAATTATTCTGTTTAGGAAGTCCTTCCTTACGGTTGGTTCGGTTGCAGATGGTGTCGGATGGAGGAGTCCAGTATTGGGCCTTGAGTGAGTAAAGCCGGTGTGCAGGTTCGGAGGACCAGAAACAACCGAGGAGCCAGGAGGGAGCCGAGAGAACAGGACGAGGCAGAACTAGCAGACGGACAGAGAACCACAAGGTTAGTCAAAATTCACCAAAGTACACGTGAATGCTTTCGCTGATTTACCAAAGGCAATCAATGCTCAAGCATTGGCTGAACATCTGGCACGGGTTTAAGTAGTGCAGCAGGTACTGGTCTGGAATCAGGTGCAGGTGTGATCCACTAGGTGCTCGTTGACTGTGTAGAGAGGAGGTAGAGGCAGAAAATACTAGGAATCCCACAGAACCACAGGATAGAGTTTACTGAGACTTTCTCTACTTGCTTTATGTTACAATTTCCAGATTTGGTACAGCAGCAACAACACAATAACTCTGTAAAGTACAGAAAAAGCATAGCAACAATGAACACATAATGTTAGTGAGGGCTGAAAGTCTCACTTAATATAACCTAACATCACACCCATTCACAAAGAAAAGTTCCATCCAGCTGCTGCTTGCATTCATCAGACCATATTACATTCAATATTGGAAAAAATAGAAAATTATTATAATTATACTAAACTGAAAAGAGTGAATTTTTGGGTGTACTAGACACTCCCCGTCAAGCAAAGTTGGCATCTGATACTTGTAATTATTTCACAACTTAATTATTCTCTTACAGCATAGTAATCAGGATTTAACGATCCACACTTTCCCCCCTGCTTGTACTCCTTCACTTCCTTGTACATTGGTTTTGGAATTGAAGCATAAGCTTTCTGGACCCGAGTGTCATCTGTGATCCTGACTGGCATTCAGAGTGAGGGGATGCAACTCAATGTCATCACTGTCATGGGCAAATGCAGTCACGTCCTCAAACAGCACTTTCCTGACTAGCTCCTGTTGTCCTGGTTTCAGGTGAGTGATGTCAAATGGTGGAAGTCAAAGCTCAATAGGAGGCTTTTTGGGGATGATGACATTTCTGATGCCTACGTTATCTGGCAGAATCGATGGACTCTCACCAATTTGTGTCTTAGTGCTTCCCATTTCCATGACTTTGGCAATGTGCTAAATAAATCCCAGCTAGGTTCTTCCTGAGATCATTACTTCATACTTGTTATTGTAAAAGGGCACCTTAATGTAGGGTTGTCTGTTTATACTTATCTCTAGAAGGCCCTCCCTAATGTTCAGCTGTGCAAATGTTGCACACTGTCATGAGGGTCCATACTGAACGATTGGATCAGATATGTTAAAGGTAGGGTCCACCCAGCATTGCACCTGTACTGTTTTGTCTTTTGGGATGCTGTCCATGCCCACTCTGGTTGCTGCAATTATGTCATCTGATGACTTCTAAGTCTGAATAAGATTGACTATAGCCTGTATGTGTACTGTACAGTATGTACTGTAGGACTCTCTCCATGGCCTGTCGATGATGCTTACTTGTGAGCTGGTGTTAAACAGCACCACCACAGCATACCATACCATACCATACCATACCATTTTATTTATAGAGCACTTAAAACAGTGACAAGACCAACCAAAGTGCTGTGCAAACTGAAAACAGGCAACACACAAAGCAGCATACAAAATGGAGTTAAATCAGAATGTAGACATAAAAACGTTGCAGATAGTAAAAATAACGACTAACCTGTGTGAAGCATACATGTTCAAAACACAGATCATCTAGTGTTGAAAGCTACGGAATAGTAGTGGGTTTTTAAACAGGATTTGAAAACCGAGAGGGAGGGGGCCTGTCTGACAAGCAGCGGTAACTCATTCCAGAGTCTTGGGCCAGCTACAGAGAATGCCCTGTCACCCCTGTGCTTAAGACGAGTTCCTGGAACTGTGAGGAGCAACTGGTCCGCTGACCTCAGAGAACATGGTGGGACATACGGCTGTAGCAAATCAGAGAGATGGGGGGGTGAAACTGTTCAGCGATTTGTATACATAATATTTTGAAGTGGATTCAAAGGTGAACCGGTAGCCAGTGCAAGGAGGCCAAAACTGGTGTAATATGCTCTCTTTTGCCTGTACTGGTTAAAAATTGGGCTGCTGCATTCTGGACCAGTTGTAGTCATGCATGGAGGTCTGACTGAAACCAAACAGGAGCGAATTGTAGTAATCAAGCCTAGATGTAATGAATGTGTGTATTACTGTCTCCAGGTTATTTTAGGACAATATGGGCTTCAGCTTAGAAAGTTGCCTCAGTTGGAAAAAACAGAATTTAACAATCATGTTTACCTGACTGTTAAATTTCATGGAAGGGTCCATTATCACTCCCAGATTTGTGACTCTTTGTTTTTCTGCAAATGTAATCATGTTTTAATTGTGCTTGCTGGTAGAGTTTTTTTGATGTCTCAAATCGTGTCCTGATAGACAAGATATGAAAGATCTTTTTTTGTAATACCACTATCTACCCTCATGTTTCTCCCCCTTTTCCTATCTAAGATTATTATCTGATAAGGATAAGAAGGCCGTGCTTCTATAGTTGCAGCTTTGTGCACTCCGCCCATCTTTTGGACCTTACCATACCATGCCATACCACTTTATTTATAAAGCACTTAAAACAGCTACAAGGCCAACCAAAGTGCTGTACAGACAAAACAACAGGTAACACACAAAGCAAAATACAAATGAGGTGAATCAGAATATAGACAAAAAACAATGCAGATAATGACGACAAACCAGTGTAGAGCATACAGGATCAAAACACAGATCATCTTGTGTTGAAAGCTATTGAATAGTAGTGAGTTTTTAAACGGGACTTGAAAACCGAGAGGGAGGGAGCCTGTCATCTTTCGGACGACTGTACGTACATATTTGCGTTGTATCTCGGTGCAATGCCAATAAAGTTTATTCTGATTCTTATTCTTATTCTGATTCTGATTCTGACAGGGCTAGAGTGGAAAGGTCGATGCAATGGTTCGTGATCGTGTCGTTGGGAGGGAACAAGATGACGTCAGACTTCTTTTCTTTGAAACTTAAGACATTTAAAGCCATCCAATCCCTGTTGTCAGCCAGGTAGTCAAGCAGAGGTTGAATAGAGCATGTACCATTGTGTCTTAGGGGGAATTAAATTTGACAGTCATTGGTGTAGAAGTGAAAGAGTATGTTGTGTTTCCGGAAAATAGCACCAACTGGCAGCAGGTATAAACAGAATAGGAGGGGACCCAGGATGAACCCCTTCGGAACCCCCCATATAGGCTCTGCTTAGCCATTGACATAACATTTCAACGTACTATTTTTTTTCTCAGTCACTGATGCAGTGTTACTGTCACATACAGGGTTCAATGTCTCTTGAAATTCACCACACTTCTTGGAATGTTGAATTTATTTTTGATTTCGTCATTTAGATGTGATGTTGACCGAGTTTGATTAGAATTGCAGGGTAGCTTTTGGTTCTCCCTCAGTGGAGACAGACTCTTGTTTCCCTAGCATCTTTACTGTTTTCAGACAGCCAACTGCTAGGTGTCCTATATCACAGCAGCTGGTTAGGCTTATCCCTTTAGGCTTTTCAATGCACAGTTTGTGCATTTTGATCTCTGAATTTCCTTGGGGGCAAAAGGCTGGCCAGGTGTGTTTGCATACAATCTTTCTGTGGTCTGGTTAGAGATTTGTAAGGGAAAAGTCTGGGTAGCTGTGGTTTGCAGGCAGGCCCTTCAAGGTTGCCATCATGTCTGTCAACACTTCTACCTGAGCTCTGAGTTGCTATATTGATTGGTTTTCCTTCTTGTGTGTAGTATTGTCTCCATTATCCACATGCATGCTATGTACATGGGGTGCGTTCTGCCAGGATACATTGATTAACCTTCGCTTATGTTAATTTTTATAGATGATCATATTTGTTATAAGGCTGATGATTTCCTCATCTGTAACATGAGCATTAGAGAGGTGTGGTCTCAAATGTTGTCTAATAGCTGCATGTCTGGACCCTAAACACTTGTAGATACTGTGGAGCAACACCTGCTGAATTGTTTTAGGTCCATAGTACATATATGAGCTTGGCTGCTTTCACAGGGTAAGTATTTTTTGTTTCAGACCAATGAAATGGTACACAAACTGCTGTGGAGGTTCCTGTTCATTTTGCTTAGCACACATGAGCTCTTTGAACAATTGTTTACTTGCCTTTTGCAGCTATTCTTTTTTTCTGGGTCGGGGGGGGGGGGGGGGGTGTCACTGG